CTGCTTATTACTGTCTACAAATTGAAAAAGTTGGAAGAATGATTTTGGATGATAAATAAAATCTCACCCTGGTGTCTTTTGATATCAAATATATCAACACTCGTTGATAAAAGTGACAAAAATCCTCGGCAAGCCTCGGGATTTTTCCACTTTTATCAACTCGTGTTGATATATTTGATATCAAAAGACACTCAGGTGAGATTCTCTATATGTCCTTAGCAACCAATGATTGTCATAAGAGGCGACCAACAGGATCGGGTGGTCAGGCTCTGACTTAGTTGATGCAGGTCATCGTATCCCAATTGCGTAGATCAATGCTTATGTCAGTCATTGGATTGTCAGGTCCAGACTTGATTATTTACAAACCGCCGGAATATTTGTCCTCGGCAACCTGTGCTTGTAAGAGGTGGCTTAAATGAATCGGGTGATTTGTCCTCGGCAACCTGTGCTTGTAAGAGGTGGCTTAAATGAATCGGGTGATTTGTCCTCGGCAACCTGTGCTTGTAAGAGGTGGCTTAAATGAATCGGGTGACTTGTCCTCGGCAACCTGTGCTTGTAAGAGGTGGCTTAAATGAATCGGGTGACTTGTCCTCGGCAACCTGTGCTTGTAAGAGGTGGCTTAAATGAATCGGGTGACTTGTCCTCGGCAACCTGTGCTTGTAAGAGGTGGCTTAAATGAATCGGGTGACTTGTCCTCGGCAACCTGTGCTTGTAAGAGGTGGCTTAAATGAATCGGGTGACTTGTCCTCGGCAACCTGTGCTTGTAAGAGGTGGCTTAAATGAATCGGGTGATTTGTCCTCGGCAACCTGTGCTTGTAAGAGGTGGCTTAAATGAATCGGGTGATTTGTCCTCGGCAACCTGTGCTTGTAAGAGGTGGCTTAAATGAATCGGGTGACTCGTCCTCGGCAACCTGTGCTTGTAAGAGGTGGCTTAAATGAATCGGGTGACTTGTCCTCGGCAACCTGTGCTTGTAAGAGGTGGCTTAAATGAATCGGGTGACTTGTTGATTTTTTATATCTGAACTGTGTGGATCAATGCTCATATTGTCAATCACTTGCTTGTCTGGTCCAGACTGTTTACAGGTCAAACCTAATCTTCATCAAAACAGATTTATATACCCTTCTTGGTAAGAATAGGTCTTCAGCAGCCTATGCTTCTTGTATGAGGCAATTACTTGGACAGGGTGGTAGGTCTCCAGCAGCCTATGCTTCTTGTAAGAGGCAATTACTTGGACAGGGTGGTCAGACTTGTGACAGAGTTGACTCATTAAGACGCCGGGGTAGAATAGGTCTTCAGCAGCCTATGCTTCTTGTAAGAGGCAATTACTTGTGACAGAGTTGACTCATTGATGGCGTGGGATGTTGCTCATGCCATCCACTGGTTTGTTTTGTTCAGCCTCAGTTATTTGCAGGCGACTGCCATATCACTGACTGTAGCAAACAACATACACTCACTCACTCACTGTTCCTTCTGAACAAGTTGGTTTGTTGTTTTACGCCGCACTCAGCACTATTCCAGCTATATGACTGCTGTCTGTAAATATTCGAGTCTGGACCAGACAATCCACAGATTGATGTCATGAGCATTGATCCACGCAATTGGGATTGATGACATGCTCAACCAATTCAGCGAGTCTGACCACCCGATCCTGTTAGTCGCCTGTTACGGCAAGCATGGGTTGCTGAAGACAAATTCTATGCACAGCATGACTTCATTAGGCTGTATCTAAGCTGTAGACCGACATATTTGGCCCTGGAACACCAAAAACAAATTCGGACAGAACAAACTCAGACCTCCATGGCATCCACAGAAATACAATCAAAAATGACATAATTGTAGATGTTTTTTATTTCATTTATGTTGCATTATTACAGATTTACACAACAAATGTGTGTGTGAGAGAGAGAGAGAAGATTGACAGTTAGGAGATAGACAGAAGGGACTAAGATTCTGCTTTGTGGATCAGACATCTCAGCAGCCAGACAGCAAACTTACACTCACGCTTCTACTTCTTAGCGCTTCAAACACATGGCATGGTACAGCACACATCTTGCTGGCCTACACAACTTTGGGGATGGGGTGTGTGTCTATCACACAGACTGCTGAAATATACTGTTCTTTAGATGAAAAAAAATCCTATTAATCCAACATAAGGCCACATCAGTTGATTGATTGCTTTACAGATTTTCATTAATAAAATCGGCAGGGGAAATTATTTTAAAAAACTTAAACCACTTCTTATATAAATCAAATCACAGAGTGAAATTATACTGCATTATTACTGCATATAGAATGCACAATTTCTGGGGTTATCTTTTGGGCGTGTGCTAAGAAATGCTGTCACTTAAACTTAAACCACTTCTTATATAAATCAAATCACAGAGTGAAATTATACTGCATTATTACTGCATATAGAATGCACAATTTCTGGGGTGTTTTTTGGGCGTGTGCTAAGAAATGCTGTCCTTCGCTTCAGGAGTGAGCTGAAGGAAACATGGGCAAAATGCCCTTGTTACTATTTTTTCTGGGAGGGGGAGAAATGGCTAAAGAGTGATTGGAAGATCTTCTTTGAAAGAAAGGAACAGATTCTTTAAGCAAAGGCAGCCCCGAAAGTGACAGCCAGGAAGACTGCAAGGCTTGCACCAGCCCAACACTATACTGTACATATATACACAACAGCTGGCCAGGATAAAATGGTTCTCAGCTAACTGTAGAGAACAGGTAAAAGCTTATACAAAATAGCAGACTTTAGAGCACTTCAATTACATCAAAGCTGCTTTGTAACTATCAGTAAAACGAAAGTCACAAAGGTAGCCAAGCTAGCACATTTACCACTACAAACACCATACCCTGTGTGCCTGATTGGTTCAAGATCTGTGGGACACTAACGCAAAGGCAGAGAAGAATCAGCTTGTCTACTGACTTCTATAGGGCGCCTGATTCCAGGAAGGACCTTCGCTATGTCACCAAACGTAGTGCTACGACAGGGGCTATGCAGGATCTTAAGACTGGCTTCTGACCAGAGCACAAAAAGGCAGCAAACAATCATTGTGTCATTAGACCTGACACCTCAAACACTCAGCAGCCAACACGAACATTGCTTGTCACACACAAGTGGTTAAATACTAGAGTTACCTCCCCTTGCACAGGTGCCCACGCCGGCCCAGTCAAATCCTGCTTCCTATATAATACCTCATGCAGCACTGGAGAAGTGATGAAACAGAATATCATTGTACTATTGAATCCTGCAGCATGTGACAGACTCTCAGCTTAATATGCTTGAAAATATTGTGTCCGATTTTGATTTGGAGAAGCAAAAGGAAAGTCACAATTGCAGCCATTTTTTCTTGTGATGACAGTCACATGTTCCTAAATATGCTAGATCCTGAATAAGAGCGAGGCAACGAAATGAATTTGAGTAAATAACATTATAGTTGTATCTATTTGGTCACATACCTCTTGTTACACATACCTTTCATTACGCAGTGGAGGACCAGCTGATACACCAATCTGCTTAATGAAACAGTCCGTTCTACTCAAGTCAGGTGCTTGTTACACATCACATACTTGGACATCTGGTGCAAGGGAAGATAACTCGCTTTCCAATATAAGGTAATGAAGCATAACACATAGCCACACCCATAGAGATGACAGTGTCTGTCAGTGAATACAATCAATATTGTACATGTACCATACACCATCAGAGCGAGTCCTCATATTCAACACATCCCCTGACCTTCATAAACCCTTCACGAATAAAAGTAAAAATAACTTGAGTTAAGTTAATTGTTAAAGAACAACAGAGTTTTGCTGTCATGATATATGCTCGGTCTAGTAATGCTGATAACACGATGTCTTAACTCTTCTACAACATAAAACACCCTGGTTCATAAGCAAATACCATGTCTTTAATGGAAACTATATTTGTATTATTATTATAATTATTATAATTATTATCATTATTACATCACCACTCCCTAGTAAATACAAATACAAGCACATCACAATATCAACAGCGTCTTTGTACCAAGACTAAATTGGTCAATGTGGTGTTCATATATATATATGAAGATGTTTAGTAATTTGGATTCAAAGAAATTCGAGGAATGAATGGCCAAATAAAAGATACCGTATTCAACGTAATAAGCGCCCAGGGCGCTCTCAAAATTAGAAATAGGGGGCGCTTATTAGCATATTATTTTGAGTTGAAAGGTCGTAAATTTCATGGTTTATGCTAACAGCCTGAAATGTTTACATACGACAGATATATTTTTCAAGAATTTAATTGCCAATAATTAAGGGTGATATAACACACGAGTGCGTATTATACACGAATAAATAAGTCTTGTGTACATTTATCAATCGGAAGGGGTGCTGATTGGGTATTGTTTACTGGCCAATATATTAGCAAATATCGCTGTGGGCCCTTATTAGAGCGGGGCGCTTATTACGTCGAAAACGGTACTCATAAAAAACTATATAAAGCTGAAAGGATTAGGACTGAGTATTGTACTGACATATATTTCCCTGCACATAATCTGCCATAACAAATCATAAATGCCATTTGTCAACAAAGCAATGAACGTGGTGAAATGGAACGAAGACCACTGACAGTTTCATCAGACGTTTGTTGTCGAACACACACTTGTCTACACATTCGTATTAAACTGACCATTACACACTCAATCCTAGTGTTCAACCAGCCTGAGAAAAGTCATACCGGTACCCGATTATGCATTTCTCAGAATATACTTTTCACACTCTATTTACTAATGACAAGGTATTATGTACTCCCAAAAGCACAATTCGTTTGTTCAAATTGCAAATAAAATGTATACATCTTTTATTTCTGACAAGCTGAACCTCAATGATTTGACTAATGATGTGATGAATACTACTGACCAAGCCACTGTTGATGGTGTTGATGGTGTTGATGGTGATGATGGTGATGATGATGAGGACGATGATGTCAAAATAGGCTAAGATGATGTTGCAAATGTCAATGCTGATATATTTAATGAACATGAGAACGGAACAGACTAACTGTTCTATACAAGTAACGAATTGAACATGTTTTGGGATCACATTGTAGGACTGAAAATAACATGAACCTAATCAGACTAAAAAAATGAGCAAGGGACCAGTTTCACAAAGGAGTCATAGCACTAAGTTGACACAACTCATAAGTTTCAACACAGACTTACAACAGTCATGGCCCTAAAACAGCTTTGAGAAATGGGCTCCGAGATGCCTACCAAAGCGCAATCGCTGTAATAAGTCAATGTTGACGTGCGGGACGAAAAAAGGCCGCAGCTATGACGATTTTGTGCAGTGGGTTCCTTGCTGCTAACACTAAACCAATCAGATTGAATCCTCTGACTGAAGAAACATCCCGATCAAAATCAATATAAACAAAGATAAATGCTCCTGTTCAAAATGGTCACGTGATGACTGGAGGGGGGTAGCAAGAGGATCGTGGAGAAACATTCAGCACTCATGGTCACAGTGGTCTGTCCATTGCTAATGGTACTCGCTGGGCAACAATGTGCCTATATGTTATTATTTGGGCTAGAAAAAACGAACTGTTTACCCTGTACAAACAGATAAAAATCTCACACAAAATAAAAAGCACACCCGATAATGCGGAGAGAGATGTTATCAGAGAACAGGGCCAGAATTCTCAAAACAAACTTTAAGTTTATACTCAAATCTCAGTAGCATTTCTTGAATCAAACTCAGCAGTTGTATACATCCGTTTCTGCTCGAAACATAAATCTAAGGAATAAACCGTCATCCGACATTAATTCCAGTGGGTTTTCACGCTCGGTAAGCCTCCAAGAAATAACACCTCTCCTCCTCAATCACTGCTTACATCTATTTGCATTAAAACTTAAGTTACCATGTAAGCTAACTAAAGTTACCATATAGGCTAACTTAAGTTTTACGGGGTTTCGAACTCAGTTTAAACTTAGTTTTGTTTCAGAAATCCATTTTTCTGAGTTTTCTCAAATTTGAGTAAAACCTCGAACTTAAGTCAGTTTTGAATATAAGTTTGTTTTGAGAAATCGGGGCCAGGTATAATATACCTCTACCCCGGTAGTGACTTGAAGATGCTATGTTTAGCAGTAAGTAACACACCGGTTCATGGACACAGACGTCAGAACATACTTTGTATATACTCATGACACGGATAATGAGCATGTGGGGATATCCTTGATTCATACATATAACTTTCACTATGTAGTGTTTATATACAACCTAGACGCAGGTCAAGCAACATGGTAACAAGGAACCAACGTTCTGCCTGTGATGTTGTAACATAGTAAGTGAATCAAAATCTTCCCATGAACTATTCTGAACACTCATTTAATCTGCCAAGGAGAAACACTAAGTCAAGACATGCCTGACCTTGAAGATTTGACCTTTTTCTGTAACATATGATGATGTCATTTATTTGGGTGCATAACCTGAACACTGTCCAACGACCCAAGTTTGAAGGGTATATCGCATGTGAATTTGTGTGTAGCAAGTTGCCTCACACAGCCTTGAACTGTGAAACAAGCAATCGTCCAGACCTGTTCCTGCCCTTACTGTAGGCCCATCAAACACAACACTATTGCCTCTGATCAGAACTATCTAGTCACGAACATATCAATGTTCAACCTAAAACCTATTTTGATGACATTGCAGAACTGTTCTTGACCATAAAAACAATTGAGTTATTTCATTTTGATAAATACCTTTGAAGTTTTCTTTTCATAAGTAAACTATGCTATTTTCACAAACTCTTACAGCATTCGTTCCGAGTATATTACCTATCTTGAGCGAGTGAGTATGGTTTTACGCCTCTTTTAGCAATATTCCAGCAATATCACGGCTGGGGTCACTAGAAATTGGCTTCACACATTCTACCCATGTCGGGAATTGAACCCGGGTCTTCGGCGTGACAAGCGAACGCCTTAACCACGAGGCTACTTGACCGCCCTTATCCATCTTGAAATATTGGTACCTGGTTACATCATCCTTGTTTATCCAGTTTATCATATCTCCATGATTTCTTTTTGAGTCATACCTATTATTTGAATCACATGGCTCTATGGAAATGGAAACGTCACTTCTGAAATGAAGCTATGGACGTGCATGGGTCCAGGGTATTTATTATGGAGATATAATACCCTGGATTGATGGGGATGGGTTAGTTATAAGTCTTCATGGCGGTTGACACCGTTAGTCATATGCTACTTGTCCACAACTCATTTCAATATGCTGATTGATGTAAATAACTAGATTCTGGAATAAATCAACTAGTCTCTCAAGATTTTGACTAGTTTTGGACTAAAAGACATGTAGCCATCTCTAACAGTGCTCAAATAGCACTTCATAGATTCTGCTCAAACTTTCTTCAGTAAGTACGAGTGTGCGAGATCTGAACAGTCCAATCGTGGACGTGACATGTACACCTTCATCAGATAAATGTGGGGAAGATGGAGTAAGCGAGTATTGTTTTACGCCACTTTTAGCAATATTCCAACAATATCACGGCAGGGGACACCAGAAATGGGCTTCACACATTGTACCCATGTCGGGAATCGAACCTGGGTCTTCGACGTGACGAGCGAACGCTTTAACCATTAGGCTACCTGACCGCCCCTGGGGAAGATGGAGAAACAGATGCTGCAACAACACTCAACGTACACTGGAAGCTGCAGGTAACAATAATGTAACAACAATAGCACTTCATCATGTATCAAATCAGATCAGCTTCGTATCTTCAGATTCTCACCAAGCAAGTTCAGCAAACAAAGCTTCGAGAAGATCTTTGACATCTGGATTTTGTGTACCTGTACAAGATTAGCCTTAAGTCTGCAAGCCACTTCAATACACCAACGTGACCATCAAGTTTCACTGTGGATTTGCAGCCAACATGGCATATTGATAGAGAATCATAAATAAGATTACAGTAAATATACAGTTTGTAGGTCGCAGATTCAGTAAACAAACAAGCTGGGACACACTGACAATGCTGGGCAATGTTGACTGTTTATCACAAAGTTGGTGAGTCCGTCCTCTGGTGAGACGATGTAAGCAGGCACATAAATAAAGCAGAGTCCCACCAGTGGCCGACACATTGCTCAGGAAGTCCACAATGCTGAAGCAGGCCCTCCATGTTTTGTTTAACCAGCTCATTTCTGTGATTTTCTTGGATCATCTCAGCTTTTGTTCGCCAGCTTTTTAATTCTTTCAAGCCTCATTTTCAGATCGGACACATCTACGGAGACGGCAGGGTTGGTGGGCTGAGGAGGTTCGGGGTCGATGTTCTCCTGCTGTTTGTCGTCATCAAGGGAGGTAGCTTCGTCCTGAAACAGCCAATGATGAGTGAGAGTGCGAGCGTGAGTGACAGGGGGATGGAGTATGCAGCGTTCACATTTACAGCCAATTCATGTGGCTGCCAGTCCCTGTGGACCGGGAAATAAAGTGCCTTATAAATCATGCTTGTTGACCAAAACATCGGCGATAAACTTTTAAGTATATTTTTCAAACAAAGTCAGGTGGTCTGTTATCAGTGTTTCCCCATTGTTTATTTTTGTTCTAGGAAATCACTTTTCCCTGTGTTTCGAGGCTAAATATCTATTTGTAGTGTCTTGAACCAAAGTGAAATATCTAAAACGAGAGGGAGAGAGAGTAAAGATTGAACTTTGTGTGAATGACGTGTACATCTCAGTTACTTCATTGAGGATAATGTTGAATTAAGGATTGACTGTGTATTTTTTTCGGTTCATTGAGGTATGAATCGAAAAACCGATGTGCAAACTGTATGAATCCGCGTAGCAGATTCTTACAAAAGTTTGCACGTCGGTTTTTCGATTCATACCTCAATGAACCGAAAAAAATACACAGTCAATGCTTATAATTAAATTCGACAACGTTAAACATGTTTTATCTACAATAGTTTAACCCAAAACAGTTGCATATATCAAAACAGACAAAAATGACGACATTGATAAACATTCCAGGTGTAGGAATATATACAATGGCGTGACATGAATCAGGTGATCGTTTAATTTATGCACATAACTTGACACGCCTACACAGTCAGTAGCCAATCAACGGAGAGTGGGATTAAAACAATGTTCATTAGACCTGTCAATTAAGGCAAGAGGCAAAAAGAACTGCAACAGTCAGACTGTAACGAACCGGAAGATATATGTCGACCGAGAGAAGGCGGCTGTTTCAAATAACATGGTCATTTACTGCGTGATTCAAACATTACTTCCCTGATTACGGTAAAACTCAGTTAGAGAAATGCTAGTTAGAAATGAAACCCGAAGACATGAAAGTTGAACCGAGACGAGCAGGAAAAAAACAGGCGAGAGAGCCTGCACGTTTGCTGTTTCATTCGTTTTCGGCCTTCTGTTTCAAAGGGTTGTTTGGAAAATGAATATGCAAGAAAGTCGCTAAATATCCTGTGCATAACGATACACGTGAGCAGAAAGGGAATTCCCTCGACTGTAATATTGGGATTCCCCGACATTCAGCAGTAATAAAAGTAGTGCGCCGCGGTGGGTGTGGCTTAATTTTTTACATTCATTGGGAAATGAATGCAATAACACGTGACCAATTCAGCTAATCAGAATGCAGGAATTTCCATGAACACAACGAAAATTTAATTATAGAAGTATAACCAGGCATGTTTCATATGTTTATTTATTCGTTCAAAGTTGGGACTGACAAAAATTTGGGGGGACAGGTATTTTTTAGAGTTGCCCTTCCATTGTGACTGTCAGTTTAAAATGCCAGCGGTTGGTTGGTTGGTTTGTCGTTTAACGCCGCACTCAGCAATATTCCAGCTATATGACGGCGGTCTGTAAATAATCGAGTCTGGACCAGACAATCCAGTGATTGACATCATGAGCATCAATCCACGCAATTGGGATTGATGACGTGCATCAACCAAGTCAGCGAGTCTGACCACCCGATCCCGTTAGTCACCTTTTACAACAAGCATAGTCGCCTTTGACAGCAAGCATGGGTTGCTGAAGAGCTATTCTACCCCGGAATCTTCACGGGTCAAAAAAAGAAAAAGAAAAAAAAAGCCAGCGGGAACACTGGTATGGAGACCAAGAAGTGCCGCCAATCCTTGACCCTGGAGCAATTCTGGACACCTCCTCCCCATCTTTACATACAAATAGACTGGTGTCGTGGGAACATGGGGTGTGCTGGAGTGAGTGCCTGGATGCACTATACCAGTCACCAATATTATAGCCATGTCACCGGGTCTGTCGACCCATGAAGATTCTGGGGTAGAATAGGTCTTCAGCCACCCATGCTTGCCGTAAAAGGTGACTATGCTTGTCGTAAAAGGCGACTAACGGGATCGGGTGGTCCGGCGCTGACTTGGTTGAAGCATGTCATCGATCCCAATTGCGTGGATCGATGCTCATGATATTTACAGACCGCCATCATATAGCTGGAATATTGCTGAGTGCGGCGTTAAACAACAAAGCAACCAACCACCACCGGGTCTGTCACTAATTGAGTTCGATTTGTTTGTTGTTTAATGCCACACTCAGCAATATATCAGCTATAGGTTGATGGTCTGTAAATAATCGAGTCTGGGCCAGACAATCCAGTGATTAATATCATGAGCATCGATCTAGGCAATTGGGATACGACGACATACATCAACCAAGTCAGCGAGCCTGACCACCCAATCCCGTTAGTCTCCTCTTATGGCAAGCATGGGTTGCTGAAGACCTATTCTAACCCGGATCTTCACTGGTAAATTGAGTTTGGGATAAGTGAATAAGTTGTGGACATCTTCAACAATGACCCAGGCCGTCAGGTACAGTGACAGTGGGAGGGCGGGCTAAGATAACATGTGGTACCGTGGACCCACTCTCCTTTGGAAACCCAGAGAAACAAATCAAGTCAAAATTAGGGGGCACTCACAGATAAAAGACATACATGACTTGTTTATACCATACTTGTAACATTAAGCACGTTACATAAAGTCCAACAAATTCTAAAGCTCTAACAGTCAGATTAATCACAATAAGGATAAAATAAAATTTAAAAGGTCAAAGGCATGCACAGATTTGAATGAGGGGATTGCAAGGCTTGGTACCATTCCCCAATATATTTCCCATAAACACTATATTGAGGCTTTCTGGAACTATGTTTTCTTCCTCTGACCCTCAAGCAATCCAAACTGAGGAAATGGCGGCCATGTTTGGCGTGACACTTTGAGGACACAAAGACACATGCAATGTTTGAATGTAGAGAGTTCCAAGGCAATAGCTATACAATCTGCCCTTCCTACGCTACTTACGATTTCTTCAGTGCTACCTAGGAGGTCAATGCCGTCAGTGTTGCTGGGATCGGGATCCCCGGCCTGGAGACGGAGGAAACAACATAGAAAGCTTGTCATGCCACAACAGTCAGACCAGTCTCTGCCTCCATCCCCTACACCCAGGGCCCTATTTCAGAAACACACCAACCGTGGAAAGAACTTTTGGCAAAAAATAGAATCTGTGTTTCCATTTCAGCCCATCCAAAAATAGAGTACGTAGGTCATTTTATGCTTGATCGTTTTACTTGTTTGACTCTGTTTTCCAAAGAAAAATCTACTTTGACAGTTTTTTTTAGCGCTAGCCCACTGAAATACCAGTGTTTTACTGATCCCAGAACATCAGAGACCAGAGAGTGTTTGTAACCCGAAGGACACTGAAATGGTAACTTCCTAACACCTGGGTGGTGGAGGGTGGCAGACACAGACTGGGAAATCACAACATTCTTGGCTAGAACAAACCTGACATCTTGTAAATGTGCAGCAATGTCCTTTCTTGCACATGTTGCAGCATATGTTTCTTCTCAAAAGTCATAACACAAAGTAAATTACACATAATGTGTTTGCACTGTTACAATTAATGCCATGCAAAGTCAAGGACGACTGACTCTAATCAACATATCACAAAATCAAACTTACAATTCAAATAAACATTGAAAAGAATAAAACTAAACAGTCTTCTAGAAAACGTTTACTCCAACAATTCTAATCTTACAAAACAAGGAATAGCAAGCTTGTTACATGCCACATGTATTTCCAATGATGGTCAAGACACAAAATAACACCTAAATGAATGTCATTATAAACAAGAGCAGCAACAACAGCACATGACTCAGGTGGACATATCAATCATGCATGGGTTGAAATGAAGATGGGGAAAGGCCTGTACCAGAGATTCAGCTTTCACTTATTTACAGGGAGAGAATGCATGTTGTTTTGTGATGCAGACAGCAGTATTCCAGCTGTATTCTAGGTGTCAAGTCTGTAATGAGGGTGGAAAGAGTGTCCAGGTGTCAACTCTGTAATGAGGGTGGAAAGAGTGTCCAGGTGTGAACTCTGTACTTTGAGGGTGGAAAGAGTGTCCAGGTGTCAAGTCTGTAATGAGGGTGGAAAGAGGGTCCAGGTGTCAACTCTGTAATGAGGGTGGAAAGAGTGTCCAGGTGTCAACTCTGTACTTTGAGGGTGGAAAGAGTGTCCAGGTGTCAAGTCTGTAATGAGGGTGGAAAGAGGGTCCAGCAAACTATGCTGGGACAGACAGCTATAACTCTGTTGTTCCATGGAGTGATCTTTGTGCTGTTACTGGACTTGAGGTACAGTGTACTGGACTAGAGGCAATAACATAAGCTGGGATATACTGACAGCAACTTGATATTCTATAAAGTGAGTGAGTGAGTCAGTCAGTAAGTGAATATGGTTTCAGCAATATTCCAGCAATATCACGGCGGGGTACACCAGAAATGAACTTCACACATTGTACCCATGTGGGTAATCAAACTCGGGTCTTCGGCGTGACAAGCTAACACTTAAACCACTAGGCTACCCAACTGCCCCTATTCTGTAAAGTAAACTTCGTGCCAGGGTCGTTCTTTGGGGAAACAGGATCCTGCATAAATGTTAATTACAGCCAGGACACAGTGTGTGAAATAAGCGCCTTCACGTAGACTGTGGCAGGTAGATCTCGTGGTGGGCTCGTAGTATCAAATTTGTATGGGTCTTTATGGATTGCACTACATTTGTGTGTCGATTTATTTGTCACAATAAGCTGCATATTTTTTAAATGAGGGCCTGAAAAGTTTAATCAGGGCCTGCAGCTTGTAAAGTCTGGATGGCAGCCTGGCAGTTGCTTTATGTCAAACACTGCCAGGACATGTCATGTACACAGCCTTACCTCCTTGTTGTGGTCAAGGCCACACTTGACCCGGAGCATCTTCAGTCTCTCGCGGAAGTAGTTGGGGTCCTCCTTCTCCTCGCCAGATCCCACACTTGGACCCGATGACGATGATGATGTGGATGACATCAAGACAGGAATGATGCCAGATTCACCTGACAGAAATAGGAACATTACACTACATCCTCTATCTATACACCAGTAGGGCTAGCCTAGTCCCTGCCCTGCACGCTATCCTGTCCTCACACTGCTGAGTGAGTGAGTGTGGTTTTACGCTGCTTTTATCAATATTCCAGCAATAGCCGGGGACACCAGAAATGGCCTCCACATGGGCTATGGTGAAAGCCATGATCACGAATATGGTGGTGACAACCCAGAGACTTAATCTGGGACCAACTCTGCACAGTGACGTCCAGCACCATAGACCCCCAATCAGTAAAGTGGGTGTTTCTTTGTTTGTTTAATGCTGTACTCAGCAATATTCCAGCCATATGACAGCCGTCTGTAAATAATTGAGTCTGGACCAGACAATCCAGGGACTGACATCATGAACATCGATCCACACATTTGGGATACAATGACATGCATCAACCAAGTCAGCGAGCCTGACCACCCAATCCTATTACAGTAAACTACGGTTATAACGAACACGCTTATAACGAACTGACGGATATAACAAACTTACTTTTTGGTCCCGACTATTTGCTGTAGTTATGCTGTATATATGCTTATAACGAACTACGGTTATAACGAACTAAAATTAGTAGTCCCTTTGAGTTCGTTATAACCGTAGTTTACTGTAGTTGCCTCTTACGACAAGCATCCTCGCCTTTTACCGCAAGCATGGGTTGCTGAAGACCTATTCTACCCAAGATGTTCACGGGGGTCCAGTACTGTGGGTCATGGTGCTAGACCGCGACTGGCCACCTCACCTGATGATCCCATCCTCTCCTCCTCGATGCCGCGCAGGCCACGCTCGATGTAATTCTGGAAGAACTGGGAAGACTTTTTGAGGAAGGGTTCCAGGTCGGCATCAGGGTACTTCCTCTTGAAGTCATACAGGTCATTCAGGCCCTGGGGACACAGACAAGCAAAGGAATGACAGCTGCTTGGTTTTAGTTGAATATTTCAGATGTGCTAAACAATGCTTGGACCAACAGTTTCTAACACAGCTTGTAAGCTTAACATAAATCATCAAAGATTGTCTGATTGAGCTGGGTTAAATGCCGCTTTCATCATTATTCTATCCATATCAAGGCAGCGGACACAAAAATTGAGCTTCAGACACTGTACAGATGTTCAAACACCAAAGACGACATCGTCACTAGTGATGACTTAAGTTGTGATCCATCAAATAACACTTTTCTTGTGACATTTGGCAACACTGACAAAGGGGCTAGGCAATGACGGAACCATGAGTTGGGTAAACAGTTGGGTAAACAATTAACTAAACATTGAGGAATGATCACACCCATACAAATCACCATGCCGTAAATCAGTAGTTAGTCCATGCTCACCTCTTTAGTGTTTTCCTTGGCACCAATCTTCTTGAAAATCTCTGCCAACATGTCATGTGTTGTTTTGGAGAATCTTTTCGTTTTTGTTGAACTCTGAAAAAGAAAGAAAAAGTCTCAAGGAAATAAATGAGTGAGTGAGCGATCTGATTTTACACAGCTTTTAGCAATATTCCAGCAATATCACATTGGGGAACACCAGATATGGGCTTTACATATTTACCCATGTTGGGAATCGAACCTGGGTCTTCGGTGTGACGAGCGAACACTTTAACCACTAGGCTACCTCAAGGAAATAAGAAACATACCAACATGTCACCAATCACCAACACGATTTTAACAAGCTCTGCATCTGATAATTTTCAAGGTGTGTTCTTATTTATATATTGTATTTATTTTCTAACCTTTGGTGTCTTCTCCCTGTTGTCATTCAGCTCATCATTTTTAGCATTTGTGGCAGCGACATCGTTTTTGAGAACCTTCTGGAGGTATGCCTCCACCTCGGAGTTCTCGGAGCTCTCGATCATCCCAGTGTGGTACAGAATCTGCAGTGACAGAACAATGTCATACACAACACAACCAATGTCATACACCACACAACCAACGTCACCACCTAGCTCTCGATCATCCCAGTGTGGTACAGAATCTGCAGTGACAGAACAATGTCATACACAACACAACCAATGTCATACACAAGACACAACCAATGTCACCAGCTATCTATCGATCATCCCGGTGTGGTACAGAATCTGCAGTGACAGAACAATGTCATACACAACACAACCAACGTCACCACCTAACTCTCGATCATCCCAGTGTGATACAGAATCTGCAGTGACAGAACAATGTCATACACAACACAACCAATGTCATACACCACACACAACCAACGTCATACACAACACACAACCAACGTCACCACCTAGCTCTCGATCATCCCAGCCTGGTACAGATTCTGCACCGACAGAACAATGTCATACACAACACAACCAATGTCATACACAACACACAACCAACGTCACACACAACCAACGTCATACGCAACACACAACCAACGTCACCACCTAGCTCTTGATCATCCCAGCCTGGTACAGATTCTGCACCGACAGAACAATGTCATACACTACTTACATACCAATGTGACAAACATATTCTCTAAGTGTTCCTTCATAGAACATTCGAAAAACATTTTCAACTTGAAAGCTGTGTTATCTACTCACATGGATCAAGATGTAATGAGAAACATCCAATATACATCCATTATGAACTGACCTTATGACCCTTACATCAAGCCAATATGAACTGACCTTACGATACTTGAGTCGAGCCAATATGAACTGACCTTATGACCCTTGAGTCGACCCAATATGAACTGACCTTATGACCCTTGAGTCGAGCCAGGGAATGTAAAATGGTTTTGATGGTCCTCAAGGGGAGGTCACTCCCCTTGTCCTTCCAGGAGCTGGAGGGGAACGCACGCAGGAAGAGATGGCAGTCCATGAGGATGCGATCCACGTTCAGGTCATTGATGATGTCGGGCAACATCCGGATCATCTTCCACAGACACTGCAACACACCAACGTGGAATGTGAATTAAAATCAGAAGTATAACATGTCATCCACTATTTGTCTGATGACACCTGGAATATTATGAACTTTCTTAGCAATTTTGGATTGTTTGTCATTTATCAGTTGTGCATGATTTTTCAACCTACAATGTTTAGTGGTCTTAAGCCACTTCTAAAATATTCAAGCCACTACAAGGGTTTCACATATTGTACCCATGAAGCGTGAGTGAATATAGTTTTTCGCGGCTTTTAGCAAAATTCCAGAAATAATATGGCAGGGGAGGCCATGTGGGGCCATGTTGGGGCCATGTGGGGCCATGTGGAGGCCAGGTGGGGCCATGTGGGGCCATGTTGGGGTCATGTGGAAGCCATGTAGAGACCATGTTGGGGGCCATGTTGGGGCCATGTGGAGGCCATGTTGGGGTCATGTGGACGCCATGTAGAGACCATGTTGGGGCCATGTGGACGCAATGTTGGGGCCATGAGGAGGCCATGTAGAGGCCATGTGGGGACCATGGAGACGCCATGTGGAGGCCATGTAGGGCCCATGGAGACGCCATGTAGAGGCCATGAGGAGGCCATGTAGAGGCCATGTGGGGACCATGGAGACGCCATGTAGAGGCCATGTCGACGCCATGTAGAGGCCATGTTGGGGCCATGTAGAGCCCATGTTGGGGTCATGTGGGGGTCATGTGGGGGTCATGTGGGGGCCATATAGGGAATCAAACTCAGTTTTTGGTGTGGCAAGCTATGCTACACATTAGCACTGAAATTCACAGCAAACATGGACACGAGGTGCCTACCTTCATGATGAGGTCTAGGAACTTGCTGGTGCATGTCTCACTGCTCACACAGTCTTGTAGGAGCCGAATCAGGGCACTGAAAGCAAACACCACCATCTAAGCCGAGCTCACACTGTATTCAACAAAGGCAGGGATGCAAACTTGCACTAGTCTGCCAGCCCCAATCAGTTTGTTTGTTCTTCAATTCTGCACTCAGCAATATTCCAGCTATTTGGCAGCGGTGTGTAAATAATCGAGTCTGGACCAGACAATATAGTGATATCATGAGCATCGATCCACACAATTGGGATACGATGACATGCATCATTCAAGTCAGCAAGCCTGACAACCCGATTGTGTTAGTCACCTCTTACAAAAAAACATAGTTGTCTTTTACAGCAAGCATGGGTTGCTGAAGACCTATTCTACACTGGATCTTCACCGGCCCCAGTCAGTAGCTAACTAGATAGTTGAATGTTATCACTACAGAACAGCCCATATCATCATCATTTTCAAAGTATACACAAGACTGAATCTAAATCTGTTGCTATGATATTTTTGTTATTTCCATGACAAAGGACCATATGTTTCGTTTCTCTGAACATGAATGATTTCAATGCCACAAATAAGTCTCATGTAGGGTACATCATAGTAGTGTGTGCAGATACCGATTGATAATGGCTCTGTAGTTACATACAGTAATTACTTCTCTCAAATGCTAAAATAATACATTTGTGTGCATATTGTTTTATGCTGCACTCAGTAATATTCAGGGATGAGAATGGATATTTTCCTTTTCGGCTGAAACTTCTTGGCAATGGAGCGTGGTAAATAATTTGGGGGTGTTTAGGGGGGAAGCAAAGAAGTAAACAAATTTGTGGTCACTAAAATTCACGGAAGATTCTCATCCCTGAATATTCCAGCTATATGATGGCAGCCTGTAAATAAACCAGAGACTGATATTGTGAACAACGATCCCCACTGTTGGGGTACGTTGACACACCATCAACAATCACTGAGCCTGAAAACATCTGATCCATTTGGTCGCCTCTACGACCAAATTAGGTCACTGAGGACCAATTCCAATCCGGAATCCAATGGGCCTCTGTAACCAATGTGTTTCAGAACAAGTGACCCACCCTGTGATGCTGGTGTGGTCGGTCTTCTCGACGATCTTGACGACGGTGACGTTGACGGAGCGGACGACCTGGGGCCCCTCCTCCAGCTCCATCAGGCGACTGTCCAGCAGGATGGTGATTAGTGAGTTGACCACGTCCTTCAGGATGTCCTTGCCAGCCTTCTTGGCCAGACGCTGGGTCTGGAGGATCTGGAGCAAAGAGTCATCCACACTGAGGCCAAACAGTTTATTTCTTTAAAATTTCTTGTCTTCTTGAAAACAATGTGGCTTGTATGTGGAGATTTCACATAGTTTTGTTCTTTTCATCATAAGGTAAATGAAAATTTTAAAATAAATTGTCTATTTATATTCTCATCCTATCTCACACTATGGATTTCTTTTTCAATCTTACGGAGTTGCTGGGATGTGTTCGGATGAATTATTTTTGAGAGGCTGGAAACCATGTTTCCACATAGGATCGAAGAGGAAAGAAGAAATGCATAGTGTGAGATAGAATAAGTTTAAAAATTCTGAACATGTTGCCCTGTGTGCCACGGCTTGTCTCATCGATCTTGCAGCTTAACCTATTGAATGGACGTTTGCATTGGAAAAAACACACAAAATGATAATGTATTACTTTTGTTCCACTAGCACAATCTGTGAAACTTAAAAAAAAAAAGTCTTTAGAAAACCAACACATCTCAAAACTAAGTTAGCAAAGCAATTTAAAAAAATCTTGTCATTTGTTTCTCAAGGTGTGTGTGTGTGCGTGTCTGCTTGTACTAGTCTGGACTGATGCCGATTTTTAGTGCTAGCCCACTGAGATACCATGCCGCAGTTTAACATGAATACCCCACTCAGACACAGTATACCCTGAGCCGATCAGTCCTTGTTTCAGCCCCTTAATGCCGAGCGTAAGCCAGCGTAACAACAAGTACCATCTTTCAATGTCTTTTGGTATGATGCTGCCGGGGATCGAACCCCGGACTTTGCGCTCTCCGGGCGGACGCTCTACCACTAGACCACGGAGGCGGTGCGAAACTAAGTAGCAAGTAAGACATTATATTTTAAGGCTACTTTTCACAATACTGCATCCCACGGAGTCTGGTCCAACATAAAACCCTCCCTGACTACATGTGATCCTTACAAACAAGCAATTCACTACTCACTGCTAGTAGTGTTCCCAGCAGACATCTGTAGAGTCTGACCACGTCGTCCTTCGGGGTGTCCTCGTCCCCCATGTGGGTGGAGTACACCATCTTGAACTGCATGGACAGCGTCAGCAGCAGCTGGTCCACGTGACCCGCCATGATCTCTGCCCTCTCCTCGTCCTTCAACACCTCATCAACCTGGAGGAAATAAAAAATAAAAAATATCTAGATATTTTTTACAGTTGTATACTTATCCTGCATTACTCCTTAATGCATTCACTGCTTACCTTACGACAATGAACTTTTCCTCTTCAAGGTTTATCAACCAACTTGTGTTGTGTTTTCAGGGTGTGAATTATTGAGGTTTCTGTATTTCTGAAGGTTTACCCACCTCCAAACTGTCGGTAGAGATGCATTAAGGAGTAATGCAGGATAAGTAAATTCTTTTAGCAAAACCTAAAAATTGTTTACATTTGTATACTTATCCATTACTATGTTTAAGGACCCACCGGTCACAGATTTTGTCTACACAAACCTCAAAAGTATGTTTTTTAAGCTCAGGCGACAGGCAGTGATTCTTTATTTCTTCACACAAGATTGAGTGAGTGAGTATGGTTTTATGCCACTTTGATCAATATTCCAGCAATATCACGGCGGGGGACATCCAGAAATGGGCTTCACCCATTGTAGCCATGTCAGGAATCGAACCTGGGTCTTTGGGGTGATGAGCGAACACTTTAACCACAAGGCTACGCCACCACCCATAGCTACGATAAGATTGATAACATAAGAGTACACGTCCATGAATGACAAACATTTCAAATCTGGGGAAAATTACAAACTCGTCAGCCTGTTTGAGGCATCAGGTCAACATGGTAAATAAGAAATCTTTTCAACTTGGAGGAGAAAACAGCCAATGAAACGATGGTTTTAACCCCTAGGCTAGCCCACTGCCCCTCCCACTGCCCCTCCCCCTGCCCCTCCCCCTACAGTGGACAGTGTCACTTGGTGATCACCTGGACCAGGGCTTGAATACATGTTGTGATGTCGGGACTGGTGATCTGTGATATGACGAAGCCAATGGTTGCCGCAGCATCGTTGGAGTTGAGCAGCTTCATCGAGGGAGATGGGGGCCTGGCTCTGTGGGAGACAAACGTTGCATCATTCTAACACGTAGTGAAGACAAGTGTGTATATAATAGACATACAGAAATACTTTTTCAATTTTCAACATTCAATCTTGTACTTTGTACATTACCTGTTTTAACAGAAACATACCGTGTCAACTCATTTCCCCGAAGCATTAAATGCTTTAGTGCCAAGGATGTTGCAATTGCTTTTTTAACCTTAATAGAAATTATTGTCAACCAATTTGTTTGGGTTGATCAAAATACATATAAATAGGTGTACCTCATTAGTACAAGTTATTTAGCATACAACTCTCTGTGTCTGTCAGTTAAGTGTGTGTGTGTGTGTGTGGGGGGGGGGGGGGAAAGTAAATGCTGGATCTGTTCAAATGCAGGATATATAGTTCTGTTACAGTGACATGCCTGTATACTTGCATGTTTCAGAGAAAGCTTCTCTTATAAGAGGATTGCAATTGCCAGAAATAACGTACAATGTATCTGATCAATTATAAATAAAAAATTATTGTCAAAAATATTTTACATGTATCTATTTTCCTACTCAATCAAGAGTGAGCGAGTATGGTTTTACGCTGCTTTTTGCAATATTCCAGCAATATCATGGAGGGGGATACCAGAAATGGGCTTCACAAATTTTAACGATGTCGGGAATCAAACCAGGGTCTTCGGTGTGACGAGCGAACGCTTTAACCACTAGGCTACACGACAGCCCCTACTCCATCAAGAATAGAAGAGGCAAATAAAAATAAGTCTAAACTACTTGTATGCTATTTACGGAATTATTTCTACAAAAGAATACGTCTTGAGTGTTTGTACAGTTCAGTTTCCTGCCTTATATACATGCATGCCTGCAAAGACAAAGGTAAACAGGCTCTCACTTAATCTTGGGTAGTTTGACCGGCTCGTAGATGTCATCTAGATCGTGCTGAATCAGCTGTGGCATGTCGTAGGAATTGGTGGGCTCCGTGTCGATGTCCAGAGCAAACTCGCGCTTCACGGAGTTGGAGGAGGAAGACTTCTGCATCGCAGAGTTGGCACGAGGAATATTGGGTCTGGAAAATGGTAGTGATAAAAACATAACGAAAGAACCAAATAAAATAGATCTGTCACAAGTGAATGTTGATTAATGCCAGTGCAGCTTTATCATGCAGCCTCTAAATAATCAAGTTTGGACTAGGTTGGTTGGTTGGTTTGTTGTTTTACGCCGCACTCAGCAATGTTCCAGCTATATGACAGCGGTCTGTAAATAATCGAGTCTGGACCAGACAATCCAGTGATTAATATCATGAGCATCGATCCACGCAATTGGGATCGATGACAAGCATCAACCAAGTCAGCGCAGCAAGCCTGACCACCCGAATAACTATGAATAACCACAGTTGTAGTGTGAGAGGGGCACCTGCAGTTATGAATAACACTGCCATTCACTAGGACACAATTGTAGTGTGAGAGGGGCACCTTCACACTATGAATAACACTGCCACTCACTGGGACATAGTTGTGTGAGAGGGGCACCTTCACACTATGAATAACACTGCCACTCACTGGGACATAGTTGTGTGAGAGGGGCACCTGCACACTATAAATAACACTACCACTCACTGGGACATAGTTGTAGTGTGAGAGGGGCACCTGCACACTATGAATAACACTGCCACTCACTGGGACACAGTTGTAGTGTGAGGGGGGCACCTGCACACTATAAATAACACTGCCACTCACTAGGACACAGTTGTAGTGTGAGAGGGGCACCTAAACACTATAAATAACACTGCCACTCACTGGGACACAGTTTTAGTGTGAGGGGGGCACCTGCACACTATGAATAACACTGCCACTCACTGGGACACAGTTGTAGTGTGAGGGGGGCACCTCCACACTATGAATAACACTGCCACTCACTGGGACACAGTTGTAGTGTGAGAGGGGCACCTGCACACTATGAATAACACTGCCACTCACTGGGACACAGTTGTAGTGTGAGGGGGGCACCTGCACACTATGAATAACACTGCCACTCACTGGGACACAGATGTAGTGTGAGAGGGGCACCTTCACACTATGAATAACACTGCCACTTACTGGGACATAGTTGTAGAGTGAGAGGGGCACCTGCACACTATGAATAACACTGCCACTCACTGGGACACAGTTGTAGTGTGAGAGGGGCACCTGCACACTATAAATAACACTGCTACTCACTGGGACATAGTTTTCTGTGTTAGTGGTGCTGTCTTCGGCCTTTCTTCCTGTTTTGGAGGTGGTCTGGTCTTTGCTGACCTCTTGATTCTCTCTTCCAGAAGACTCTGATCCTTCTCTGCCAACTACAACAAAATACCACACTTTCAATCCCACATGACTTGATGACAAAGTTCACATTTGTTTGCATTGATTTTTGACTGGATCATCTGAAGGGTCCTATTGCTCAATTACAATCTTCAAAAGTCTCAGTAAAGAAGCACAGTACACCCCAAACAATAAAATATTTTCTTATTTAAACAAAAGTGAAATTTTATAATTAGCTGGTATTTTTTGTTGTTGTAAGTACTTAAGTCTTTTGCCTTCCGACAGAGAGAGTGTTTGTCATCATTGCTACTTCCACATTCCTTAATGACCTTGAGTCATCTCTTCAAAGTTTACATTAGTGCCTAATGATTTGCTGACGAAATTATTTTCTATGTACTCTCCATGCAATTCATGTTGCTAGTTTACGTAGCTACTCTTGTTTATCAAACACCCACCAGAATTTACAACTGTCTGTAAGTAGGGCATAGTTGCAATGTTTGTTTGTTTGCCGCACTCAGCAATATTCCAGCTATAGGATGGCGGTCTGTAAATAATCAAGCGTGGACCAGACAATCCAGTGATTGATATGAGCATCGATCCATGCAATTGGGATACGATGACATGCATCAACCAAGTTAGCGAGCCTGACCACCTGGGCCCACTTGCACAAAGCGATCTTAGCGCTACAACTATTGTAAGCCTATGTTAAAGTATGGGAATTACGATCATCTTAGCGCTAAGATCGCTTTGTGCAAGTGGGCCCTGATCCTGTTAGTCGCCTCTTTAGGCACACATGGATTGCTGAAGACCTATTCTCTACCCCGACCTTCTCGGGGGGAAACATGTATTTAGTACATAGATGAAGAATTCACAACAGTACCCCAGCTTATATTCTGCTTTTCAGTGTCTCAGCCTGACTCAGGTCTCTAGATACTCACGTGGCCTATGTACTTGTAGAGCCCGTCGCCCAGGATAGTGTGTGCTGTTAAAACCGTGTTGAGGGCTGCATTCCTGACAGATGTGTCCCGGTCACTGATCTGCTGGGCGATGATCTTGAGGGCGTGGGCCGGAGACGGCTGACATATGGTGATGCCGTACGACTCAATGAGGCTCCCCAGCTCATCCAGACACTCTGTACGGACAGCGAGCAGCATGTTACATGAACACACGTATCATTTTTCAAACATAATGTTGCGATCTGAAAGGCCAGTCTCAATGATTTGGAAACTCATAATGACAAATTAGTTACACGTGTCATTTTATGAGCAGAGTGTTCTTGTTCACATTTGAGCACTACTTTCTACTAGAACTACATTGCACTAGAAGCACAAGTGACTCATACAAGGATGGGGTGAGGTGAAATGAGGTTTTAACTCGTGTCCAAGAATATTACACTTGTACAGTGATGTGAATGGGTACGTGGTCGCTGCTAGTGCAAGCCCACTGAGATACCATTAACATGGATACCCACTCAGGCACAGTGCACTGACTTCGAGCACATCAGTCCTTGTTTTAGCCCCTTAATGCAAAGCGACAGGGTAACATCAAGTACCATCTTTTAACGTCTTTTGGTATGATGTGGCTGGGGACAAACACACCACTATGAACAGAGTCAAAGTCAAACTTATTGCCATGGAAACAGGGAAAAGATAAATTTATAAAAAATCCTAAATAGCAAAAGGCACCACTTCAGCCCCTGATTAATACATCTAAGTTTGGATGCAAAATATTTCAAAGTTTTCAAGTTACAGTCCGGAAACAAAATACGGATGGATAGACGGACAGACCAGATGATGGCTATATTCCCTAGCATTATATGCCGAGGGGATTATAAAAATTTCGCAAGCCAAAAGTTAAAAACTTCATCAATTCTAGTTAACTAAAGTGAGTGAGTGAGTGAGTATGGTTTTACGCCGCTTTTAGCAATATTCCAGCAATATCACGGCGGGGGACACCAGAAATGGGCTTCACACATTGTACCCATGTCGGGAATTGAACCCGGGTCTTCGGCGTGACAAGCGAACGCTTTAACCACTAGGCTACCCGACCGCCCCTAGTTAACCAAAGAATGAAATCAGTGCACACCTGCTCTCTGTTTGGAGTTCTTTGACTTGAGGCCATCGATGAGATGTGAGAACATCTTGCTGGCCGGGTACACCTTGCAGATGAGCTTGAAGATTTTCCGCACTTCACGCCGTACGTTGTCTTTAGATTCCCCCACCTGTAATACAAGGCATAAGTTGTAGCTACACTTCACCGTTCATTATTAGAGAGCCACAGTCATAATCGTAATGACTCGTAATGGTATGAAGAACAGACATCTGAAGGTAAGTGAGGCAGCAACATTCGCGCCATATTACACAAGACTGTAAAGAAGAATCTGAGCCAGCAAAACCAGAGGTAGACAGCGTGTACAACAATCCATGCCATCTCTTAGGCAGATTTTTGTTTTTGTTGTTTAATTCCACTCTCAACAATATTCCAGCTATATGATCGCGGTCTGCAAATAAAAGAGTCCGGACCAGACAATCCAGTGATTGATGTCATGACCATCGATCAACGCAATTGGGATATGATGACATGCATCCACCAAGTCAGTGAACATGACCACCTGATCTTGTTAGTCACCTCTAATGACAAGCATAGTCGCCTCTTACTCAGGCATTGGTTGCTGAAGACCTATTCTAACCCAGATCTTCACGAGTGACAGGTTACATGTTGTGACTGCCCTTTTGTTACTGGTCTTCTGAAATATGATGTTCAGGGACAGGTATGGTGTAAAGGAGACAGCCAGCATGACAGCCTACCTTGAGGACAAGATAAGGTGTGACAACGTACCTTGAGGACAAGATAAGGTGTGACAGCCTACCTTGAGGGCAAGATAAGGTGTTACAGCCTACCTTGAGGGCGAGATAAGGTGTGACAACGTACCTTGAGGACAAGATAAGGTGTGACAGCCTACCTTGAGGACAAGATAAGGTGTGACAGCCTACCTTGAGGGCAAGATAAGGTGTGACAACGTACCTTGAGGACAAGATAAGGTGTGACAGCCTACCTTGAGGACAAGATAAGGTGTGACAACGTACCTTGAGGACAAGATAAGGTGTGACAGCCTACCTTGAGGGCAAGATAAGGTGTGACAACGTACCTTGAGGGCGAGATAAGGTGTGACAACGTACCTTGAGGACAAGATAAGGTGTGACAGCCTACCTTGAGGACAAGATAAGGTGTGACAGCCTACCTTGAGGGCAAGATAAGGTGTGACAACGTACCTTGAGGACAAGATAAGGTGTGACAGCCTACCTTGAGGGCAAGATAAGGTGTGACAACGTACCTTCAGGGCGAGATAATGTGTGACAACGTACCTTGAGGACAAGATAAGGTGTGACAACGTACCTTGAGGACAAGATAAGGTGTGACAACGTACCTTGAGGACAAGATAAGGTGTGACAGCCTACCTTGAGGACAAGATAAGGTGTGACAACGTACCTTGAGGACAAGATAAGGTGTGACAACGTACCTTGAGGACAAGATAAGGTGTGACAACGTACCTTGAGGACAAGATAAGGTGTGACAGCCTACCTTGAGGGCAAGATAAGGTGTGACAGCCTACCTTGAGGACAAGATAAGGTGTGACAGCCTACCTTGAGGACAAGATAAGGTGTGACAGCCTACCTTGAGGACAAGATAAGGTGTGACAGCCTACCTTGAGGGCAAGATAAGGTGTTACAGCCTACCTTGAGGACAAGATAAGGTGTGACAACCTACCTTGAAGGCGAGATAAGGTGTGACAACGTACCTTGAGGACACGATAAGGTGTGACAACCTACCTTGAGGACAAGATAAGGTGTGACAACGTACCTTGAGGACACGATAAGGTGTGACAACCTACCTTGAGGCTGAGATAAGGTGTGACAACGTACCTTGAGGGCGAGATAAGGTGTGACAACGTACCTTGAGGACAAGATAAGGTATGAAAGAAATGGCCTCGATGTCGGCCAGGTGGTAGTCGGAGTCGGCCAGCATGGAGAACAACTTATCCAGGAACTCCAGGGCCTTGTTCAGCATACTGGGGTTGGTGTCGTAGAACCGCAGCGTAATCCACTTGAGGATCAGGTCCAGGTTTCCCACAGTCTCCTCTGTGTGCGTGTCGAGGCACTGGAAACATCAACACTTGCACAGGTCAGGCACAGATCAGGAAGGTTAGGATCAGTTCAACATCATCAAGGGCTGTTTCTTTATACAAAACACAAACACACAAATGTTTGTTCCATCCTAACATATGTATTGATTGAAACAGCTCCTCTGGGCTGGGCCTACCTTGATGAACACCTGGATGGCTTTGATGTGGAACTTGAAGTCGTTGTGGAACAACTGGTCCATGGTGCTCTTGCTGAAGTTCTTCTCCATCTGTGTGCGCAGCTGCTCCACATATTCCCCGCGCACCTCCAGGAAGTTCCACTTCAGCACCTGATGAGTGAGTGAGTGAGTGAGTGAGTGAGTGAGTGAGTGAGTGAGTGAGTGAGTGAGTGAGTGAGTGAGTGAGTGAGTAAGTGAGTTTAACACTGCTTCAAACAGTATTTCAGTTACATCAGGCAGCTACATGTGTGAGGAAAGCTAAAGAGACGGAGGACATTAGTGGGCAGGACATGAAATATACTCCATGTTTGTCAAATTGCTACCACAATGGATGTTGCCACAAGCAATTATGAATATTTTCATTTTTATTTTATTTTTCGTTAATGTTAATGCTTAAGTTGTGTATTAATTTCTTTGAGTGAGTAAGGTTTTGCTCCGCTTTTAGCAATATTCCTGCAACATCCGGGCGGGGACACCAGAAATGGGCTTCACACATTGTACCTATGTCAGGAATCGAACCCGGGTCTTCAGCGTGACGAGCGAACGCTTTAACCACTAGGCTACCTGACCGCCCTCGGTCAAAAGAAGTTAAACTTAAAGAAGTTCACTTGGAGTAGTATATATGAGTTTATGATCACAGAACCTTTTGCAAATGCTTTAACCACTAGGCTACCCAACCGCCCCGTTAATAACATAACAAAATATAATGGCTGGGTATTGGTAAGTTATAGGTCTATCCTGTCCCCTGTGCCTGAATGGAGAATAAATATATATGCAGTTAGTAACAGACCTTCATGTTTTTCTCATCCTTGAACCTCTGCTCCTTGGGGACCATGAGTGTAATGGGGGGACCAGTCTCCTCTTCCTCCTTCTTCTTCCCTGATGAGGCAGGAGCCTGGGAACAGAAGAGGATTTCTTCAAGCGTGAGAGAGTGAGTGAGTGAGTGAGTAGTGTTTAGTGTCGCTTATAACAGTATTCCACATAATGAAGGAGAAAAGCCCGAAGTAATGCAGGTCTCAGATGTTTACCACTTTGGTGAAACCCAGGAGCACAATAATGATGCAAACAAATCTAGAAACATAATCAGGGCAAACCAGGATTCGAACCCACCATCGTAAGTTTCTGGTGGGTCCAATGGATGCACCTTTGAAAAGCTAATTGCGGTGCCTTAGATGACTGGGCCAGCCCTGCCCACTCTTCAAGAAGAAGACAACAACAACATTTAACAGTGGGGGATATTCTATTCATCAGTGATGGCATGTTGGAGCATAAACAAAGGGGAAACAGGATGGGGTAAACGACACAGTAACGACAAATGACAATGAAGGGGACAAATTTGTGATTTGAACCAACAACATCTTGGCACAGCAAGGAACAAAACACAATTTTGTCAAGGGACACAACTCTGCAAGGAAGCTATTTACTTAAGTGGTGTCACTCCTAATTATCTCACCTTGGCTCCCTTGCCCTTCACCGCCTTTGACTTGGGCTCGGCCTTGGCTTGTTTAGCTGGCTCCTCCGGCTCGTCAAACCGTGATGACGCTGATGGAGGTGGTGCTGCAGCAGGGGCACTTGCCTTCTTGCCTTTAGGTGCCTTAGCAGGGAGATTCGCCCGCGCAGCCTCGATGATCTTCACGATCTGATCCTTGGATGCCGGCTGAAGGAAAAGGTAGGATGTCAGACACAGATTATTAACGCAACCTTTATTTTTATTTTTTCAAAATCACTTCAAGCTCAGTGAAATTGAAAGGAAAAATACATCTTTGAGAGTGACGATAGTTTTACGCGGTTTAATTCAAATTTCAAGCTATTTCACAGCTTGGTTGAGCAAGAATGCAAGTGGGGAATCCAACACAAACCTATAAACCATGATGCTACCCTACCATCCTTGAAGATTACACCATACAAATTCAACATTAGTGTCACTTTCAACATCACCCATGATTTTATGACAGTACATGTTCTTTAACTCTGCCAAGGAGTGAAGTGACAGTCTGGAAGCAATATTCCAGATACGTGATTCTGGCCAATAAAAATCTGAGTCTACTCTGCACTATCACCTGGAGAATGCGAAGTTACCTTTAGCTTTGAGGTAGCTTTAAAGAATGAATCATAGCCTGTATGAATCATGAATGGGACGAGAGATTCCTGGGCTTTCTTGCGGACATCAGCGTTCCGGTCCTCCAGACAGGCAAGGACAACTGGCACGCACATCCTCAGCTCTGTGGGAAGGACTCTGTGAGTGGGAAGTTTTTCCACCAACCAGTTCAACAGCTGAAATAGGCAGTAAAGTGTCATAAAATAGACAGTACAGTGTTCAACAGCTGAAATAGGCAGTAAAGTGTCATAAAATAGACAGTACAGTGTTCAACAGCTGAAATAGGCAGTAAAGTGTCATAAAATAGACAGTACAGTGTTCAACAGCTGAAATAGGCAGTAAAGTGTCATAAAATAGACAGTACAGTGTTCAACAGCTGAAATAGGTAGTAAAGTGTCATAAAATAGACAGTACAGTGTTCAACAGCTGACATAGGCAGTAAAGTGTCATAAAATAGACAGTACAGTGTTCAACAGCTGAAATAGGAAGTGGAAATAAGCAGACATCGACACGATCCACAGCATAAACCAATTCTGAATAAACAACTTCAAAAACATTCAATACACATATTAATTTAATACCATACTACATTCACTAGAATAGGTTTAGAAACAGTGTATCAATACATTTCCTGTGTGAACTGCACCATTCATTACATAGCGCCCAATGATTTGCAACCATGTTTGTTTAGTCAATAGTCTTTGGGCAAGTTTGTTTATTGAGTAATGCCAAACTCAGCAAAATTCAAGCTATATGATGGCGATCTGTAAAAATTGGAGCCTGGACCAGACAATCCAGTGATTGACATCATGAACCAGACAACTGGGATATGATTACATGCATCAACCAAGTCAGTGAGCCTGACAACCCGATCCCGTCAACCACTGAATAACTGTATGAAACTTACCATGCTTATTGAAAGTTTATACACCAAGTTGATCAGATTGGCTTATCGCAATGATATTTTTGTGATAAACAAAAGTACGGGCTTCAAAAGTTAAAATAAGGTAAACGTATGTGCTAGGGTCTGAATGTTAACGTGGTAAATATCTTACCTCTGTTCTAAGGTTGGGGTTTTCTGTCTTCAGTCCGTCAAAGATGGCCTCGCTCTCCACCAGGGGAGTCAGGGTGCACTGATCCACCCAAGCGTTCAGGGCGTTCACCGTCGCTGCCCGGACCTGAGGCTGTGAGGAAGAGAGGGAACATGTGTGAGTGAGTGAGTGAGTGAGTGAGTGAGTGAGTGAGTGAGTGAGTGAGTGAGTGAGTGAGTGAGTGAGTGAATGAATGAGTGAGTGAGTGAGTGAGTGAGAGTGTTTTTAGCAATATACCACCAATATCACGGTGGGTAACACCACAGTTTTAGTCCACTTGCCCTTATAATGAAAACCTATAAAAGTGGCAAATTTTTACTCATCCTCATGATACCTTAACTTTGGCAAGGGCTACAGGACTAGAGCCAATTTCTAACGCAGGACTATAGCTTGTTTCAGGATTGACTTCACTGTCTCCAACTCTGTTAACCGTTATCACTATGTCAATGTGTGGTTTACCTTTCCGTCGGCCATACAACTGATGAGACCTGGTCCGATGTTCTTGATGTGATGCTTGCAGTGAGGACCCATCGCCGTCGCCAAGCTCAGACAGATTCCGATAGTGTTGTTTACCTGAAATGTAATGGTACATTTTAAAGTCTAGTAAATATCAATCCCTTTCATGACAGATTTGACAAAATTGCATAGTCATCAGAAAATAATTATTTTTCTCTCCTCCCACATTTTCAGTACAAATGAATTAAGCAAATTAATCTCTTGATGTTCAATATAAGTATAAGTACATGAGTGATAGAAGGTTTCATAGGTAGCAATATCACATCATCTTTCTGGGACAAGGGAGTTAACTCACTGTAACAGTCCAGTTTCCAACCCTGCCGAACTAGGCTGGAATTATGGAGTTATCATTTGGTTGGACTAACAAGTCCATATATAGTCCAATCAAAATCGTGAAAAGAAATCAACATCTGGTTCATAAACAACATGAATTTCAATGTGTACATTTCGATCGACTGCAGGATTTACAAAGCATATGTATCGTCGTCAACTGTGCGTCGACATATATTTTCCAAATCTTTTCATGTTTGAATCAAGGTGCTCACGATTTATTTTGTTTGATAGGCATTGCTTAGAAGTTACGGATGACAAGATAGACACAATTTTATGGATAACAACTTCTTTAATACTGTGAAAAGCGACGTTTCGGTATAGAACCTTATACCGTTGTCAAGGATCTATACCGAAACGTCGCTTTTCACAGTATTAAAAAAATTGTTATCCATAAAATTGTGTCTATCTTCTCACATGATTTGATGCCTTCACGAGGTATTTTGTTTCAAAACAGCTATTGATCATCGATCAGACTGTCTTGACTGGGCACCACCATTTTGTTTGAAGCAAATGTATGTGATATGAGAGATGGAATCAAATTGATCAATAGGAGGGGCAGGTAAGGGACATAACTCGTAATAACCACTGGTGGCGCTATAATAGAGCCCAGAAATTCCAGCCTTATATTAATCTGGCAAGGGTGGAAACTGGACTTTTAGAGTCAGTTAACTCCCTTGCCTCGAGAAGATGTAGTACATACCAGCTATATGATGGCATTTTCAAATAACAACTGCATGGCAACAAGATGAGTATCAACCCATGCCGTCAGAGTCACACGATGTGGGAGGTCAAAGCTAAGATTTGGTCTTTTCTGGGCTAACCCATTTTAGTACTGTCTGAAGCCATATTTGGAATTGTCATCTCGATAGAGAGAGTGAGTTGGGTTCAAAGCCACTTGGAACAGTATTCCAGTTATAACACAGTCGGGATCTCCTGAGAACCAACTTAGGACCACCTTTGGATGCCGGTGGATTATCCCTGGATGAACATAGGATCACCAATCTCCTGGTCCCACTTGCACAAAGCGATCTTAGGGCTAAGACAATTGTAAGCCTATGCTAAAGTATGGGAGTTACGTTCATCTTAGCACTAAGATTGCTTTGTGCAAGTAGGCCCTGGGCATTATCCGCATAACCCCTCCTGGTCACCTGAATATATCATGAAGGTTACCCGTGGATATCGTGTTGATCACCATGGATATCATGAAGGTGTCCCCTGGATACCATGTAGGTCACCATGGACATTGTGTCGGTCACCATGGATGTTGTGTAGGTCACCCATGGATGTTGTGTAGGTCACCCATGGATATCGTGTAGGTCACCATGGATATCGTGTTGGTCATCATGGATGTCATGTAGGTCACCTGAATATATCATGAAAGTCACCCGTGGATATCGTGTAGGTCACCATGGATGTCGTGAAGGTCACCATGGATGTCGTGTAGGTCATCATGGATATCATGTAGGTCACCAGAAAATATCTGTCGACGCACAGTTGACGATACACATGCTTTGTAAATCCTGCAGCCGACCGAAATCTACACGTTGAAATCCATGTTGTTTAAGAACCTGATGTTCAATTTTTGTACACGATTTTGACTGGACTATGCATAGATGTAGGTCACTATGGATATCGTGTAGGTCACCCGTGGATATCGTGTAGGTCATGTCACCTGTGGATATCGTGTAGGTCACCATGGATATTGTGTAGGTCATCATGGACATCGTGTAGGTCACCATGTATATTGTGTACGTCACCATGGAAATGTAGGTTGCAATGGATATTGTGTAGGTCACCCAAGGATATTGTGTTGGTCACCAGTGGAGACTGTGGATAACAGGTAGGTCACCAGTGGAGACTGTGGATAACAGGTAGGTCACCCGTGGATATCATGTAGGTCACCCGTGACCCATGGATAACATGTAGGTCACCCGTGGATATCATGTAGGTCACCCGTGAATATCATGTAGGTCACCCGTGGATAACATGGAGGTCACCCGTGACCCGTGGATATCATGTGGGTCACCCGTGGATAACATGTAGGTCACCCGTGGATATCATGTAGGTCACCCGTGGATATCATGTAGGTCACCCGTGGATATCATGTAGGTCACCCGTGGATATCATGTAGGTCACCCGTGGATAACATGTAGGTCACCCATGGATATCATGTGGGTCACCCGTGGATAACATGTAGGTCACCCATGGATATCATGTGGGTCACCCATGGATATCATGTAGGTCACCCGTGGATATCATGTAGGTCACCAGTGGATATCATGTGGGTCACCCGTGGATATCATGTAGGTCACCCGTGGATATCATGTGGGTCCCCCGTGGATAACATGTAGGTCACCCATGGATATCATGTGGGTCACCCGTGGATAACATGTAGGTCACCAATGTATATCATGTAGGTCACCAGTGGATATCATGTAGGTCACCCGTGGATAACATGTAGGTCACCCGTGGATATCATGTAGGTCACCCGTGGATATCATGTGGGTCACCCGTGGATAACATGGAGGTCACCCATGGATATCATGTAGGTCACCCGTGGATATCATGTAGGTCACCCATGGATATCATGTGGGTCACCCGCGGATAACATGGAGGTCACCCATGGATATCATGTAGGTCACCCGTGGATAACATGGAGGTCACCCGTGGATAACATGGAGGTCACCCGTGGATAACATGGAGGTCACCCGTGGATATCATGTAGGTCACCCGTGGATATCATGTAGGTCACCCGTGGATATCATGTAGGTCACCTGTGGATATCATGTGGGTCACCCGTGGATATCATGTAGGTCACCCGTGGATATCATGTGGGTCACCCGTGGATATCATGTAGGTCACCTGTGGATATCATGTAGGTCACTTGTGGATTTTCTGAAAGTCACCCATGGGCCACTTGTGTTGAGTGTTGCCCCAAGAAAATTAAGTGAGTTATCATTTAACATCACATCGGCCATAAAGTGACAAGTACCCCAAGATAAGCTGTGGATCTCCATGGATAACCTGGGGACTACTGGGAATCTCAACAACTCTGTACACATTGTTGACATGAACTTACTAAAATCTTATTTGCGTCACTGAGTCTGGTTTTCAATGCAGAGGCCAGTTCTCCAATGCTGGACTTGATGAACTTGGCCTCATTCAATATGGCGATAACCTTCTGTAGCGCCTCAGCTCGAACCTTCCAGTTCTTGTCAGCCAACTCGGCCAGCAGCTCCTCTGTGATCTTCTCACTGACACAAACAGATGTTTGTCATCATCAAGAAAATATAGAAAAACTATCAGATTAATGTGGGCTGTAATTCTTTGGAAGCAAGTTCTACACAAATTGGATGGATGTCAGTGATTAACATGCTTCCCCTTTTATTGGTAACTGTTAGAATAAAATATAACAGTACAACTTTTAAAGTATCCTTTTGAAGACAAGAATCAATCAAACTAATACTTAGCTGATTGAACAAATACCAGTGAAATTCTTTACAAAGTATTTAAACTACAAAATAAAAGTTAATGCCATGACAGATTAACTATAGTAATATGAAAGAATTGGGTGGTCCATAACTTCTTTTTAGTAGTAAATATTACCACAAAAACTACGGGTTCACTCAGGCACATTGATGACAATACTTGAGTATACAGTGCTACATACGAGATGTCATTCCTGGGCATGAGATCCTGCACGTTGACCTCTTCCGCTGCGCCACCGCCACCATCCCCACCGTTCTCCTCCTCATCCTCCTCCTCCACAGCAACAATTCCACGTGTCGGGGCAGGGGGCTTCTGGTCCTTGTTCTGGGACATACAGGCATACAGGTGACTAACTTACACCCTGTGTTCTGGGACATACAGGCATACAGGTGACTAACTTACACCCTGTGTTCTGGGACATACAGGCATACAGGTGACTAACATACACCCTGTGTTCTGGGACATACAGGCATACAGGTGACTAACTTACACCCTGTGTTCTGGGACATACAGGCATACAGGTGACTAACTTACACCCTGTGTTCTGGGACATACAGGCGTACAGGTGACTAACATACACCCTGTGTTCTGGGACATACAGGCATACAGGTGACTAACTTACACCCTGTGTTCTGGGACATACAGGCATACAGGTGACTAACTTACACCCTGTGTTCTGGGACATACAGGCATACAGGTGACTAACTTACACCCTGTGTTCTGGGACATACAGGCATACAGGTGACTAACTTACACCCTGTGTTCTGGGACATACAGGCATACAGGTGACTAACTTACACCCTGTGTTCTGGGACATACAGGCATACAGGTGACTAACATACACCCTGTGTTCTGGGACATACAGGCATACAGGTGACTAACTTACACCCTGTGTTCTGGGACATACAGGCATACAGGTGACTAACTTACACCCTGTGTTCTGGGACATACAGGCATACAGGTGACTAACATACACCCTGTGTTCTGGGACATACAGGCATACAGGTGACTAACTTACACCCTGTGTTCTGGGACATACAGGCATACAGGTGACTAACTTACACCCTGTGTTCTGGGACATACAGGCATACAGGTGACTAACTTACACCCTGTGTTCTGGGACATACAGGCATACAGGTGACTAACTTACACCCTGTGTTCTGGGACATACAGGCATACAGGTGACTAACATACACCCTGTGTTCTGGGACATACAGGCATACAGGTGACTAACTTACACCCTGTGTTCTGGGACATACAGGCATACAGGTGACTAACTTACACCCTGTGTTCTGGGACATACAGGCATACAGGTGACTAACATACACCCTGTGTTCTGGGACATACAGGCATACAGGTGACTAACTTACACCCTGTGTTCTGGGACATACAGGCATACAGGTGACTGACTTACACCCTGTGTTCTGGGACATACAGGCATACAGGTGACTAACTTACACCCTGTGTTCTGGGACATACAGGCATACAGGTGACTAACTTACACCCTGTGTTCTGGGACATACAGGCATACAGGTGACTAACTTACACCCTGTGTTCTGGGACATACAGGCATACAGGTGACTAACATACACCCTGTGTTCTGGGACATACAGGCATACAGGTGACTAACTTACACCCTGTGTTCTGGGACATACAGGCATACAGGTGACTAACTTACACCCTGTGTTCTGGGACATACAGGCATACAGGTGACTAACATACACCCTGTGTTCTGGGACATACAGGTGACTAACTTACACCCTGTGTTCTGGGACATACAGGCATACAGGTGACTAACTTACACCCTGTGTTCTGGGAAATACAGGCATACAGGTGACTAACTTACACCCTGTGTTCTGGGACATACAGGCATACAGGTGACTAACTTACACCCTGTGTTCTGGGACATACAGGCATACAGGTGACTAACATACACCCTGTGTTCTGGGACATACAGGCATACAGGTGACTAACTTACACCCTGTGTTCTGGGACATACAGGCATACAGATGACTAACTTACACCCTGTGTTCTGGGACATACAGGCATACAGGTGACTAACTCACACCCTGTGTTCTGGGACATACAGGCATACAGGTGACTAACTTACACCCTGTGTTCTGGGACATACAGGCATACAGGTGACTAACTTACACCCTGTGTTCTGGGACATACAGGCATACAGGTGACTAACTTACACCCTGTGTTCTGGGACATACAGGCATACAGGTGACTAACTTACACCCTGTGTTCTGGGACATACAGGCATACAGGTGACTAACTTACACCCTGTGTTCTGGGACATACAGGCATACAGGTGACTAACTTACACCCTGTGTTCTGGGACATACAGGCATACAGGTGACTAACTTACACCCTGTGTTCTGGGACATACAGGCATACAGGTGACTAACTTACACCCTGTGTTCTGGGACATACAGGCGTACAGGTGACTAACATACACCCTGTGTTCTGGGACATACAGGTGACTAACTTACACCCTGTGTTCTGGGACATACAGGCATACAGGTGACTAACTTACACCCTGTGTTCTGGGACATACAGGCAACTAACTTACACCCTGTGTTCTGGGACATACAGGCATACAGGTGACTAGCTTACACCCTGTGTTCTGGGACATACAGGCATACAGGTGACTAACATACACCCTGTGTTCTGGGACATACAGGCATACAGGTGACTAACTTACACCCTGTGTTCTGGGACATACAGGCATACAGGTGACTAACTTACACCCTGCGTTCTGGGACATACAGGCATACAGGTGACTAACTTACACCCTGTGTGTTCTGGGACATACAGGCATACAGGTGACTAACTTACACCCTGTGTGTTCTGGGACATACAGGCATACAGGTGACTAACATACACCCTGTGTTCTGGGACATACAGGTGACTAACTTACACCCTGTGTTCTGGGACATACAGGCATACAGGTGACTAACTTACACCCTGTGTTCTGGGACATACAGGCATACAGGTGACTAACTTACACCCTGTGTTCTGGGACATACAGGCATACAGGTGACTAACTTACACCCTGTGTTCTGGGACATACAGGCATACAGGTGACTAACTTACACCCTGTGTTCTGGGACATACATGCATACAGGTGACTAACTTACACCCTGTGTTCTGGGACATACAGGCATACAGCTGACTAACTTACACCCTGTGTTCTGGGACATACAGGCATAGAGGTGACTAACTTACACCCTGTGTTCTGGGACATACAGGCAACTAACTTACACCCTGTGTTCTGGGACATACAGGCATACAGGTGACTAACTTACACCCTGTGTTCTGGGACATACAGGCATACAGGTGACTAACTTACACCCTGTGTTCTGGGACATACAGGCATACAGGTGACCAACTTACACCCTGTGTTCTGGGACATACAGGCATACAGGTGACTAACTTACACCCTGTGTTCTGGGACATACAGGCATACAGGTGACTAACATACACCCTGTGTTCTGGGACATACAGGCATACAGGTGACTAACTTACACCCTGTGTTCTGGGACATACAGGCATACAGGTGACTAACTTACACCCTGTGTTCTGGGACATACAGGCGTACAGGTGACTAACATACACCCTGTGTTCTGGGACATACAGGCATACAGGTGACTAACTTACACCCTGTGTTCTGGGACATACAGGCATACAGGTGACTAACTTACACCCTGTGTTCTGGGACATACAGGCATACAGGTGACTAACTTACACCCTGTGTTCTGGGACATACAGGCATACAGGTGACTAACTTACACCCTGTGTTCTGGGACATACAGGCATACAGGTGACTAACTTACACCCTGTGTTCTGGGACATACAGGCATACAGGTGACTAACATACACCCTGTGTTCTGGGACATACAGGCATACAGGTGACTAACTTACACCCTGTGTTCTGGGACATACAGGCATACAGGTGACTAACTTACACCCTGTCATCTGGGACATACAGGCATACAGGTGACTAACATACACCCTGTGTTCTGGGACATACAGGCATACAGGTGACTAACTTACACCCTGTGTTCTGGGACATACAGGCATACAGGTGACTAACTTACACCCTGTGTTCTGGGACATACAGGCATACAGGTGACTAACTTACACCCTGTGTTCTGGGACATACAGGCATACAGGTGACTAACTTACACCCTGTGTTCTGGGACATACAGGCATACAGGTGACTAACTTACACCCTGTGTTCTGGGACATACAGGCATACAGGTGACTAACATACACCCTGTGTTCTGGGACATACAGGCATACAGGTGACTAACTTACACCCTGTGTTCTGGGACATACAGGCATACAGGTGACTAACTTACACCCTGTGTTCTGGGACATACAGGCATACAGGTGACTAACTTACACCCTGTGTTCTGGGACATACAGGCATACAGGTGACTAACTTACACCCTGTGTTCTGGGACATACAGGCATACAGGTGACTAACTTACACCCTGTGTTCTGGGACATACAGGCATACAGGTGACTAACATACACCCTGTGTTCTGGGACATACAGGCATACAGGTGACTAACTTACACCCTGTGTTCTGGGACATACAGGCATACAGGTGACTAACTTACACCCTGTGTTCTGGGACATACAGGCATACAGGTGACTAACATACACCCTGTGTTCTGGGACATACAGGCAACTAACTTACACCCTGTGTTCTGGGACATACAGGCATACAGGTGACTAACTTACACCCTGTGTTCTGGGACATACAGGCATACAGGTGACTAACTTACACCCTGTGTTCTGGGAAATACAGGCATACAGGTGACTAACTTACACCCTGTGTTCTGGGACATACAGGCATACAGGTGACTAACTTACACCCTGTGTTCTGGGACATACAGGCATACAGGTGACTAACATACACCCTGTGTTCTGGGACATACAGGCATACAGGTGACTAACTTACACCCTGTGTTCTGGGACATACAGGCATACAGATGACTAACTTACACCCTGTGTTCTGGGACATACAGGCATACAGGTGACTAACTCACACCCTGTGTTCTGGGACATACAGGCATACAGGTGACTAACTTACACCCTGTGTTCTGGGACATACAGGCATACAGGTGACTAACTTACACCCTGTGTTCTGGGACATACAGGCAACTAACTTACACCCTGTGTTCTGGGACATACAGGCATACAGGTGACTAACTTACACCCTGTCATCTGGGACATACAGGCATACAGGTGACTAACATACACCCTGTGTTCTGGGACATACAGGCATACAGGTGACTAACTTACAC